CCCCACCATATTCCACCTCGGTCATATCGTCGCGGAGTTTAGGCGAAGCCCTGCGCCGGAAGAACATCATCATCGCCACCACGCCGTCATGCTGACGGAACTCATCCCCGACGCTTTGCTAGATTGGAGCTCGGGGAACGTCATCGAGCTGAACGTGTGCTGAACACGGAGGTGCCGTACATTCGGTGCTTGGATCGGTCGGATTGTGAAGACGTATGACTACATCAACCGCGTTGTCATAACGCTTCCACTTACGGTCTACGAGGGTACGTGGACAACACTCTCCCATCTCGTTGCTATACCATCACCATGATCTTGCGTGTGCGTAGGAAATTTTTTGAAATTACTACGTTCCCCAACAATATTATCACTTACTGCCTTCTTCGATATCTTTGATGAGCTTCTAGCCATCCAAAGCCACGACTAGCCCAAGACGAGCCTGGACATCTCTCTCCCTCTCACGTACGAAGAAGAGGAGCGACTTTTTACATCTCTCGGCCGATCCACCTCTACGCCGCCGTTGCGCCGGATACCTCGTCCTCCGTCTGCCGCCTCGGCGGCGGGAGGGCGGGGGGTCCTCGTCTCATGGCTGTAATTAGTGTAGAGTCTGTAGGGTTACCGGCCGACGGGATGAGGAGGTGGTGGAGTCGCCGGTGTGGTTTTTGTTGCAAGTGTGCGTCCGATTCGACTCCGGCGCTCAGTGGAGCTCCGTGGTGGTGCGCTTGCTTCTCCAGCACTAGCGAATCGACGGATTTGTGTTGTGCTTCCTGCCCCAGCCAGATCCGGAGGGGCGGCGTATCTGGGATGTGAAGATCTCGAAGATGACGACATGGTGGTTCGCGGCGGAGCCGATGATCCTGGTCGTTACCTCTCTGGAGGCGGTGAGTGAGGACTTCCCGGTAGCCATGGGGATGTTTTCGTTGCTCCAAGGCGCATGGACGAGCACAGGCGGCGGCGCGTCTTCCTCTCGTTCGGGATGCCAGCGATGCTCGAGCTCAGAAGGTCTCCTTTGTATTAACTACTGTTTTCTGGGCTTTTCTATAAGATCGAATTATCTATGAAATCGCTATCTTCTTGAAAAAAAAGGATGGATGGGATCCTAGTTCAGTGGTGCGGTTGCGTGCTCCCATCAGCACAGGTTTGAAACCATGTGGGCGTCCCACACATTCCTTCTTAATTAGTAAGCCACAGGGGACTCCTCTCTCTGTTGATATATTTTTTTATATTCAGATCAAGGGTGAGGTCTAAGGCTTCCATGCAAGCTATGGCTTCAACAATTGGAGGCCTCTGAATTCCCGTGACAACCATCGCCAAGGCGCCCATGTACGATCCATCTTCCGACTGCCAAATAGCACTTGCTGTTGAAAATATGAGAAATTTATCGAATAATTTTACTAACAGAAATACTAGATAAAGCATGATTAATATAGCAGAGATAAAGTAAGTCATGCAATCTCACAGAGAGAAGGTAAATAGCATCTTCTCATATGAACTGTAGGCAAACATATCTAGAGCAAGCATCATATATAAAGTAGAGCCTAACATATGTAGGGCAAACACTAGAACAAGGAATTGTGGCAGAACCTCTAACAAAAAGAGTAAGAACACGTACGGGACAGCAGTAGTAGCGGTAGCACTGGACTTGGGGTCAGTGTCCTTGACATCCATGTCGTCGAGGAGGTTGTCGACGTCGGGGAAGAAGTCATCGTCGGGAAAGTAGTCGTTAGAGTCTGTGATGAAGGAGTTAGTAGTCGCACAGAGCGCTCCCCAAAAACCTTATCAGCCTTCTCCCGTATAGGACTCAAAAGATGCGGTTTCAGAGGCCTACTGTCCTGACCTGCGGTGCATGCCACAAGCCGGGATGGGGAAGAACTATTGGAAATATGCCCTAGGGGCAATAATAAATTAGTTATTATTATTATATTTCCTTGTTCATGATAATCCTTTATTATGCATGCTATAATTGTATTGATAGGAAACTCAGATACATGTGTGGATACATAGACAACACCATGTCCCTAGTAAGCCTCTAGCTGACTAGCTCGTTGATCAATAGATGGTTACGGTTTCCTGACCATGGACATTGGATGTCGTTGATAACGGTATCACATCATTAGGAGAATCATGTGATGCACAAGACCCAATCCTAAGCCTAGCACAAAGATCGTGTAGTTCGTATGCTAAAGCTTTTCTAATGTCAAGTATCATTTCCTTAGACCATGAGATTGTGCAACTCCCGGATACCGTAGGAATGCTTTGGGTGTACCAAACGTCAGAATGTAACTGGGTGGCTATAAATGTGCTATACGGGTATCTCCGACAGTGTCTGTTGGGTTGGCACGAATCGAGACTGGGATTTGTCA